TTTCAGTACAAATCGGCAATTTCATACTTTAACCCCTATTATTTAGAACAAAAATTTCATAGAGTCGCTTTGATGCTAATGTTATTATTAAAATATTTTTTAATACATGTTAGTAATACTTTCAAATATTGTTGTACTCTTTCTACGGCTTGGGGTTACGAATCAGAAGACCGAAAATACATTTGCCCGAAATAACATTTGCATGAATTTCCATAATCCCGAAAGTATTTTTTTAGGTTTTTCTGAAGATATGTGTATGGCCTACATTTATTTCTCTCGTGAGTTTGGGTGTAATTTGATTGGATTGTCTATATGTGTGTCCATGGCACCCGTGACACGGGGTTTCCCTAATGCGGTGCCCCGCATATTGAGTGTGTGCGTTATTATAATTATTATTATTAATTAGTACCCAAGTGTTTATTTTGGAAAGCGTTTCTCTTGCGCAATCAATATCGCGCATTTTAATTTTGTAATTATCTCACAACGGCAAATACCCTACAACCGTCATAGCCGTACTTTTTCATGCACAAGAAACGTTTACAAGAACTATGAGCAGTACGACTATGCCTGTTGACAGAATGAACCGTCGTCAGTGATAAACCGTAATAATTATATTGAATCAATGTAAGCACTACGGCATATAGAAAAGTGGTGACTTTTTGAGCGCAGTATAATTTCAGTACTATGCACGAACGGGTTAAGAAAATGGTAAGAAAAGAAAGGAAACCAGAACTGATGCAAGCTTGATAAAAGACCATAATATCGACCCTTCCGACGTAAAGTATCGTATGTCGAAATTGCCAAGTTTACAGGGAAGTGAATTCAGAACTTTAAAACGCTCCCCTGTAAACCTGGCAATTTCGACATACGATACTTTACATAGGAGGGGTCGATATTAAAGTTTTGGTATGTGATTACATCAATGAGTGAACAAAAACACTGCATAATAATACAGATAGTAACGACCTTGGTAGCCTAACGGTTTGCACTGTGGGCACTGGATGAGATGTTCCCGGGTTCGATACCGGTAGGATCAATTTAACAAATTAACTTATCTAAATGGTTCTGGTCTTGGTATTCTATTGTAAGACAATCACCTGGTTTGAAACTAGGGAACTCTCTGTACATACTCCCCATGAGTATCAGAGCAACAGAATCCCAGAGCAGAACAGAATTTACAAAAGTTCATTTCCCAGATTGGTTCTACTGGGAATCGAACCTGGGACCAAGAACGATGGAATTTATTCCGGGGCATAACTCAGAACACCCAGGCCAACTTTCGAAAAGTTCACATTTAGTTTTATAGTTGATTGAGCTGATTTTTTACGGTTTTCAAAAAAAATCTCGAATAACTCGAGACATCGTGTACGAGAATTCTCGGAACTCAAGAAAAAAAGTCAGACACCCTAGCTCGAAATAAATGGCATTGTATAAATTCAAAATTTACGTATAAAATTTTTTTTCGTGGTTTTTGTATTGGACCCGTCGTTTATTTATTTGTAAGTCAATGCGAAATGTTATTTAATTTGTTTGAAAACTATTCTGCCATATCATTACTGTGACAACTGCGCTCCGATTGTCCAACCCGAATTCGAAACAATTGACGGGTGTCGTCAATTGTTTCACTTCAAATCGACCAGTTAACTTGAGCTTTGCTATAATGAACGAAAATTGGAAAACTACATATTTAATATTTAATTACCGATGATATTGGATTCCGTTTGTTTTGTAATTAGATGTTTTGCTGTTTTTCCACACACCACCGAATGCAACAGCACGCCATTGTTAGAGATAATATCTTTATTACAATAAATACAGAATATTTTTGGAAACGTACACATAGGTCAGTTGTTGGCCTTGTACTATTTCAGCTTTCTAATTTGTAATGTCAGTGCAAACGAGAATTGATATTTATAAGCGATGTATCACTGATGAGTTACCAGCAATGTATGGTCCTTATTTCGTTTCTATTTCTGTTTATATACTCCATGTTGGAATATTACATGCATGAAAACAAAAATCTTAGGAATAGGCAAAAACCTTATTGCGCTATCTGTCATGTATGTGTACAATAACGGGTGCATGAGAGCCGTCATGCCCATCACATAAGAGCTCATGCTCTTTCATAAACAACCATTGCTCTCGCCATAAACTCTTACCTCATAAGAGCTGACGTCATAGTCTTTCCTATAAGGCGGCAACGGAAACTCCATGCCCATTTCGTCGGTAACAATCGTGGATAAGTCGACTTCTTCATCCGAATGGGAGAAGAATGACTCGTAGGTCCTGATTATTTGCTCCATTGAAGGCACTTGAGGGCAGAGGTATCTGTAAAAACAAAACATACGAGTTGAATATGAAGTGCTACGCACCGGTGAATACTTGTAACAAGGTATCCTCTGTTACATGAGTCCGTACTTCAGACGTGGTATAATATTTTGGCTGCCTTGTGGATGTTATTATTATTATATCTATTTTAGACTCTCGCCTCTCCCATGGCGTAAAAGATTAATTTTTGAATTTTCAAATGGGAGAGGCGGTATTCCCCGGCAACACAGTCGGCCGGGATCAGGGACTCAGATTCAAGAACCGACGAACAATACGTGCCGTATCGAGCAGGACCGCCCTCTGCATTTGTGCTGGAAGCGACAAGCCACAGAAATCCAACCGCCAGAAGCTGTTAGGCAAGGCTGACTGGAATTAACCCATTTGCGGACAAAACGATTGGTATTATTTCAATGATCTCGTGTGCCTGGTCGATGCTTCCGGCGTTTCTCGGTTTCGGCTTTCACGAGACCTTGTCATGCGGGTTGGTAACATCCACAAGAAATACCCTCGACTGCGATCGATCAAATATCACAATATCAGGCATATTCGCAAGAAAAGTACTGTCCGTGATAATGGATCGATCTCAATAGATTTTGGTGCGGTCGTCTTCGAGTATTAGTTTCGGTGAATACTTGTCATAGGGCATCCTCTATTGCACGAGTCCGTACTTCAGAGCGAGCTCTTGGTGTAATATTTTGGCTATATTATTATGATAAGGAGGGCAGCACACTTTTTGCATCGGGGGTTAAAACAGCTTTTTGTTCGTAAAATGACAGAGAAGGAATATTTAGGTACCAGGCCATACCTTACCCATAACTTACCTAGCGGTAGCGTGCAACGCTCTCAACCAGTCGGTGTTCAGTAAGTGGTCTCTAGGTGAACTCTGGCCTGCGATTAGTTGAAGTGCAGCCAATCGGTGTGAAGCTATTAACCCGTCTGCACCGCATTCTCGCCAGAGGGAAAGTTGCCGGGATACTAGGGAACGGAAGCTAGGGCTACCTGCAAAGAAATAACTACTTTTACTTATAGTCTTTCAACTAATTGTAGATCGACACCTCCCAAAAGTTTCTATTTATTTTAAATTGCTTATCAAGGGTGTTCTTTTGGATTCATTACTTTAAGAATAGATAAAAGGCAATGTGTGAATATGAAAAAAATGTAATGTGAAACCAGCCTGCAAAATTTTTATATACAATCAATTTTTGCATTTTAGTAGCTTTGTGCTTTAATATACGGGTTTGAGAATGTAAGGCGACAAAATACCATTTTTTTTGCTGTTTAACTTTAATATATTATACTTTTTTAATGCATATTATAAGCTTCATATTGTAAATTATGAATTTAAGTTAAAAAACAGTACAGAGTACTAAAAAACCGGTCTCAAATAGCATTCGTCCCCTAGTTTGCCACCCTTAGAGATGGAATATTTTCCTCAAAATTTAAATGGGACCATTTCTGAGGTACCTTCTTTATAACAAAAAAAGAATCATTAAAATAGGTCCGCAAATGTCGAATTCAGAACCTTTTTTTGAAGACGATTAAAACATATTATAAATTAATTTGTTAAGTCAACTGTTCCACAGTAGACTAGACGACTTCGATGGTCACCACTATGGGCACTTGACGAGGTTCGGTTTCTGGTAAGACGAACTTAGGTACCTTTGCAGTTACCAGAAGCTGACGAGACTTACTTTGTTGAGAAAGGCTCGAGTTCAGTCAAATCAAAGGAATTTTGCTTTGTGTTGTTCGATTTTTGTATCCACGGAAAACCTCACACGGTGTGTAAAATATGCTGGACCGTTATAAAAGTGCATGGATTTTAAAGTTCCTTTTGTCTGATTGATGTACGATAAAGTTTATAAAACTGTTACTTAATACTTATTTAGATAGATTGCTTTACATGAGTGAGAACGGTTTAGTCACTAGCGCTGAAATTGGTATTTAAGTCGATTTTTTGCTAAAACGGAGATGCACAGGTTATTTCACTGTGTACACTCCAATCCGACAGGAGCCCCTTCTCACGTGTGCGAAGGGTGAAGGTGATGCGGTATGAACGTTAGTTATTAGGAGGCTTTTAGTTGAAGTGACACTAATGATAAGAAAAATTTAAACACATTTTGTATTACCAAGAATACATGTTTGTTTATAATAAATTGGAAAGTTACGGTATGTATTCGACGTGAAAGTCATTAGAGTTTATCCTCGATGGGGTATATTGCGATTTCCACGAGTGTTTAATTTTTTTTTCTTCTTTTCTTAAAATTAGGGCGACGTGGAACCGGCTCCCATGAATGAGAAATTGCCCACTTTTTTAATTTTTATTTATTACTGTGACGTAGTAAAGTAGTCTTCTATGTGTGACACAGACTTAGTAAGCAAGCAATCATATTAAATAATGCTTAGCATTCATGTAATAACATAAAAGTTATTGAAAGGGATACATTTTTGGAGGTTATCTGAAAACGACTCTTACATAGTTCTCCAAAAAAAGAAGCGACCATATTGCAGCGGTACATGGTTTAGTTTCGTTTATTTTTAGTAAAATTAAATAAAATAAGACTTAACGATGTTACGAAACACCACCATGAATAATATTACAAGTGCGACTATCAATTTTTTTTAGTCCGGTACTCACGTTTTAGGGTCCACTGAAAATCAGCGTCACAGCCTTGTCCCGGCGGTGACATTAGCTCAGTGGATCCTATTACATACGCCACAGCCGCACACATAACATCTACTTCGTACAGCAATAGTGTTGACCAGCTTTATGGTCGAATAATTATTTATTGCCAAGATTTTATTTTTAATTAATTTTATTTAGTTTTCTTTTTTGTTATTCATTTTCTGTTTGTTTTAATTTAGTTCGTTTTTTTAAGTTTAATTTAGTTCTGTTTTATTTTAATTTTTTTTTACTTTTAATTTTTTACTGTTTATTATTGTGTTGTGGTGTTTTGTAATAAATGTATTCTATTCTATTCTATTTTTGTAAATTTGTAAAAAAAGGCGAAATAAGCCATTTTTCTACGTTTTCAAGGTTTTGCACGAGATCATTGACAGAACCATAACGTACAAAGCGAAAACGGCGTACTGAGCTCAAGTTTGTGAACTCCGCGAACTATTGGCACACGTGGCATGCAAACTAAGCACTTCTACTGTATTTATTGTTTTCTGGGGTGTCCTGAGCGGTGCCCCGAAGTGAATGCAGTTGCTTTGGTACTTCTAGCACAGGAAATTCACCCAGTTAAGACACCAGGTAATTGGTGTGGTTGTCGAGCACATTATTATTATTAACTTACCAGCGGATTGCGCGATGAGTGTAGCCATAACAAGATCCCCATTTTCCCTGGCCACCTTACAGGCTTCGACAATGCGCCCTCCTAGTAACAGCGTCCATACACGAACGCTATGTCCGTCCGACACTGTTGACAATAAATTATTACAATATTACATACCATACCATACAGTATGGAGCAATAGTACAGGGTCCTAAGTCCACCACTGATCATTAATTCCATTGCGATTGCACTGAAATCATATTGTATTTATGATAATATCGGATATTCTACTAAAATCTATTCGGCGGGAGCTCCCGGACACTGCATACAACGGTCGAAAGTTGTTTGCCTACTACTACATACAGCAAGGCGCTATATGCACACGCGCAAATGTATGCGTGATGTGGCAGGGTTACCCATCACTTACGTGGTTAGGGCGGCAACCAAGCGAAAATTCTTAAGCGAAAATGTTATCTTTAATTAATTATATTAATAGAATCCTAATAATTACACATATTCATTAGGTACTTATATCGATATAATATTATATTTTTCATTAATTCACTAACTAGAATAATATTGAAGATTTATTTAAAAATATATAAAAAGCACTTAAAATGTTGTATTTCGGACAGGTACTTTCAAATACGCTAATCAAGGTATTTGGTTAGCTTATTTGAAAGTGTGTCCCAGTTTATCATTACCTAGTTAATAATTAGGTATATTCACGACGTAATATTTATCGGCAATACAAATTGAAATCTCATTGTATTGATATAATAATAAATCTGTATTATATATTACTCTGCACTAAATAAATGAAGAAAACACGTTTCATCTATCGGAAAACCAAAGAAACTCCTCTCTTTATCCCGTTTAGATGATGATAAACAGCCGTACACAGCACAATTCACAACCATTATAAATAGTAACGTACAATGATGTTATATATTAACGTACACGCATAATGAATAAATGAAAACTATATTCAAATATCTTAGCCGTTTTAGTGCGAAAACGGCTCGCCAACAGCCTTGTTGTCGTTCAGTATTGGAGGGGCGTGTTGCGGTATCTAAAACTAGGGAAGGGCGGAGTGTCCATTCTCCTTACTTTTTGTTCTCTGTTCCCGGATGCCAGAAAGACGTGCTATGACAATTGTTGACGATCCTGTGCTTACAGACGACATAGAATCATTGTCTGAGGAGAGACTTTGCCTCCTTATGTCTATTCTATCGCGTGTACAATGGCCAACGTTCTGAAGAACTGTTTGAAATGATGCTAATAGCAACATTCTATCATCCTCTCACTCTGCAACCGAGTTGATCTCGTACTGTACGGTTTTAGAGGAGCTTCCTCACACGTTCAATTAGGTTGTGGAATGAATTCCCTGTCTGGGTTTTGCCGCAGGAATACAGCATGGAGTTTTTTAAAGGGGGTTTGAGAAGCGTCCTAAGGGTTGGCAATGCGCTCGTGACGCCCTTGGTGATGCGCTCGTTCATCGACGACGGTGACCGCTTTTCATCAGGCGGGCCGTCTGCTTGTTTGCTGGCTACATAATATTTTTTTTAAAATCTACTTGCAATGGCAGTTGAGTCTCAATAGTGTGTCAGAGGAAGGGCAGTGATGACATTCAATTCAAGCACTAATGATGCCTTACTAAAACTATTATGGAAATCACAAGGTTTATATAAATATGTATTAATTAAAAGACATTTATTTATCCACAAAACAGGAAAAACTGATAGAAAATACAATTGAGTGATATGGACTTAAAGGTTACAGACTTCGCATTGCTGATTTTCAGTCTTCACCTGTAGCTAGCTGTTCGCTTGTTGCACCAAATATGCGGAGTGTACACCAAGTAATAACCTATCTTAAGTAATAAATAGTAACAAGTTAATATTTTGTGCTGCTAGAGATTTCAATTGAGGACCAGTTGTTACTCGATTTCTGTACGCTATTGAATAGCAGAATATCAAACAAATTGCAATGGCAGTTGAATAGTAACAAGATGTACTCTTAACTTTTAGCAGAATAAACAAATGTACAAAATCCACATCTGAGATGATTTAAAATTAGCTGATTTGTGGTCTAGATCGAAACAGAGCACAAAAGAAATTCTTCAGAGCTTTAGTTTGTTGCCATTACTATCAGGGGGTCCCACGGCTATAGGACACGGAGGTAAATACTTTTTTTATGACATTTTTATCAAGCGAACACAGCAAGTGATCGGTTTAACCCACGAAACGTGTAGTAACACCCAAAGCAGGGCTCCGTGACTCGCTCAAGGTTATACGATAAATACCCAGCGCTGACTGCGCCGATGTCGGCGCAAGCTCGCACAAAATGTTTCATTTATGGGCATTCGGTTCCGCACGACTGCACAAGGCGGACTACGTTATTTTCACCTCTCTGAGCGTGTGCTTTGGTTCCTTTTCCCTCGTAGTGAGCGCCTAGTGTCATTAGTCAAATTTAGTAAGGTTATTACAGCGTACGTATTTTCGATTATTTTTTCGATATTTTTTGTATGAGAATGATGTATCTGTTACATAGTAATTATTAACCTGTGCCCAAAGTTAGAGCCTAGTAATAAAAGAAAATATATACATACCATCTTCTTTCTCGCCCTGTCTCGGCTTGGAAAGGTCCTGGTCGGTGACGTCAGCTACTGCCGTGAGGAACCATTCCAGAATTCTCTTGTGTCTGTTTACTATTGACAACTCGTCTGTACCTGGGATGCCTATTGACAATAGCAGACATACTTGGCATAAAGGTCATTGAAATAGAGATTTAAGTACAAAATGAGAATTAATAAAGCACCACAGCAATAGTAAGTGTATGCAAATTAAGCTTCGCTGCATACGTAGTCCGCAGAATACGTGAGCTTACCGATGTTAGTACTGCTAGACTAGTTTACTTTAGTTACTTCCATAGTATAATGTCCTACGGGATTCAAATGTGCAGGCAGATATTCAAACCATATTTGTATTGCAAACACGAGCGATTCGTTCTGTGTACCGTTTAGGCTCTCGGGTTTCTATCAGAGAAACGTTTAAGTAGACTGGTATCATGACTGTGGCACCACAGTACATTTACTCAAATATTTTATAAACCCGTCAAAATATACATAATTTCAATAAGAAAGAAGATATCCATAATATTAACATTAGAGCTAAGTCCAAACTCATGGTACCACGATTTCGTTTTACCAAGGTAAACTACTCTTTTTATGGGAAGCTGTATACGTTTTTACAATAAAATTCCAGAGCATATATTAAGATTATCATTTCCTAAGTTTAAAAACTATATTTAAAATATTTTGATTGAAAAGTCATATTAAAAAATTGAAGACTACGTGTTAGATAAAGATGTATGGAAAGACGACACGGCTCCAGAATCCACATAAATTTGATTCTAAATGTATTCCATAGCATTTAAGTTTATTTGAAAAGAACAATCCCTAGACTTTCTTGCTCGTTCTTCTCAGGGAAATCAGCGTAGTGAACGAGCAGTAGCTTCATGTAATGTAATGTAAATGTGACGTTTTCACGTGTAAATTTATTTTACCTATGGTATAAATGATCTTTGACTTTGACTATGTGCTATAGAGCTAAGTCGAATAGGGAGTGTGACACAGGAATAGCTGTAGCGAAAGCTACAGTAACGATTTTCAGTATAGGCCAAAATAGAACGTGGTTGGAACGTAGTATGTGGTTAGCGGTATGTGGTTAGCAGTATGTGGCTGGCGGTACGTGACTAGCCATATGTGGCAGGCGATATGTGGTAGGCGTTATATGGCTGGCAATATGTCTGGAGGTAAGCGATTAGTAGTATGTGGCTGGCTGTAAGTGGATAGCGGTATGTGGTGCTTAGAGTTTATGGTTAATGGTACGTATAGTCTGTCTTTTTTGAAGACGGTATAAAATGACAGTTCATTGTACAAAAGTGTTGCCCGCTTACGAACAGCTAGTGATTGCAGCCGATAATATTCTATCGACTATCGACTGAATACTGGTCACGCTTATGGAATAAATAGCCGAATTTGTTTAATTTGAATCATCCTCGGCCCATTATTCATCCAATTACTGAGCACAAGTTAATTTGAATTGTTAATTTTTGTAAGTTCATACATACATACACTGTATTTAGAACTATGTATATGAAATATACAAAAGAGGAGACATAGTTTAAAGTTTCTCGTTTTAATTCAATATACATAATCAAATCGGGCTACTCTTGTTAAAATGTAGATGAATAAAAATTAGTCTCGATAGTAGTAGGCCAACAGTCAAAATAAGAACTAAGAAGACAATAACGCAATTGGTAATCATTAGACTGTCGTAACATTCACAATTCAGTCATTTTTGGCAAAATTTTATCTTCTTTCAGAATCTATCGATAAATTACACAACTATTTATGAACACTGGCAACCCTACAAATGTCATTTTACTCCGGGATTCGCTCTGGACCTTTTGGAGGGAAAAGTGTCGTTTTTATTTTGACTTTCAATTATTTTGTGAAATCTAGTTTAAAGTGGAATAGGATAGTGCTATTGTGCCTTAATCGAAGATTACGCGTTTTAATCTTCGATTAAGGCACAATAGCACTATCCTATTCTATATAATTATACGAATCTCGAACTAAAATATCCGCATCGGCCCGTTTTAAGGAATCCCGAGTCAATCCAAGCACGCCGCCTCAAATTGCCTATCCTCTTTGTGGCGGCCATATTTACAGAAAAACTTATTTTTATGTTTTCGGCTGAAGGACTTTGTTTCCATGGCCAGAAATAAATTATTAAAAAAAACCATTTTACTCCGTCTTCAAAAAAGACGGTCTATAGGTGATTTGTATCGTTGAACGTTAATTTATTTTCACTCACAAACTTTCATTTTGTCATTTTTCATATTTTTTCATTTTTTGTCGAATGGTTAACTTATAATATAGTCAAAATATTGATTAAAAGGGAAATATGAAATTACTACTTATTAAAACGACCATTGTAACTACTTTTTAAGTAAATAAATTAACTTTATGGATACATACCGTCATTTTCTAAATCAAGGCCCCACAGCGCTTCGCACAGTCGAAAAACTTCGTCGCAATATGCACTCGATACACCAAACTGCGAACAAAAGTACACAGTAACACTACACAATAAAAATTGTTGCGTCATATGGAATTAAAGATTGAGTAAAACTACTAAAGGTTATTTAAGGTTATTACTATACATGATATGATGATGAATAATTAATTGCACGCAAGTTCTTGGGCTTCACTATAGACTCAAACTTAAGCTGGAAAGCCCATATTCAGTATTTGTGCGAGAAAATTGGAGGTGCTACGTACGCACTGCGGAAACTGCGTCTCCTTGTGTTCACTGCGGTGTTGAGGCAAACGTACTTTGCATACTTCCACTCATTGATGTCCTACTGTTTTGCAATGTGGGGCAATTCAACTGAGTCCAAAAGGGTATTCGTTCTCCAGAAATGCGGACTACGAACCATAGTGGGCATAAAAGGTAATCAGTCCTGTAGAAGCCTTTTTCGAAAGCACCACGTGATGACAACATTAACACAGTTTAAAACATTAACACAATTCACAGTACATTAACGATGTAACTGTTTTTGTGCGTAAAAACATACATATTTACGAGCGATACACAGGCGGAGGCCGACTGTTACGTAATATAGGAATATTGAAACCCGTTGCTCATCGAACCGAACTCGCAACGAGAAATCCGCGAGTAATCGGGCCCCGATTTTACGAACACCTACGCCACAAGTCTAAAAAGTGTTAGAAATGACGAAGTGTTTTATTCCCGACTGAAAGACCTTTAATTGGATAATGATTCTATAGTGTAGAGGAATTTCTTTTAAAGAAATTGTAATTATATTTTTAATTTAAATTTAAATTAAAAAAAAATATTTAAATTTTTATTCGTATTTTTGTAGTTCATATTTTTCTTTATTTCTCTTTTAATTATTTTATTTTATATTAACATTAAAATTATTATTTACCTTAATGACAATCATGTTATCCCTTGACATTATATTTCGAATTGTGATATTATGAAATTGATAATATGAAATAAATGATTCTATTCTATTGACAATGTGTACAAACACCAGCAGTAGAGCTCCTTGCGAAACAATTGTGAGGCTTGTAATGTGAGCATTACTGCATTCCGGTTTTGAAGGGTAATGGTATTGGAAAAATTCTTAGAGGATGGAAAAAAAAAAGAAAGGAGCTGCCTTATCTACGGAATAAACGTCCCTACCTACATTCAAATTCTATTAAAATTTGACTTCAAAATGGAGCGAACAAACGAAGATGGTATTTGATCCAATGTTTATGTTCGGCAGTCCAATAATTTCCAACCATTGTTTCATTCTTTTTTCATTTGTAGGTAAACTTCAAAAATAATAATAATGAAATAATAAAAACCTCGTAGTCAATTGTTTCAATAACAGAACATCGATAATATGTCTGCTTACAAAAACAACACTATCTCAAAATAATCGTTATCAACAATCATCAAAATATACTAACAAACAGGCAATCTAAAGTAACCAAAGCAAAATTCGGCAAGACTTATGAATTAACTACTTAAATGAGTCTAATTACATGAGATATTTCGGCTGTTGTATGATTTATAGGCAGAAAAATAACACATGCCGGTGTAATGTAACATTCGGTTGATTTCCGCTTTCTCTACTGCCGCACCCCTTAATGCTGCAGCGACGCTTTTTCCTCAATACTTAATTGTTCTCACTGTCAATATTTTTGTCTATTTCATTACAATTCATGCGAATAATTCACTAAAACATTTGATCAAACATTGGTTTTGTCATTTGATGTACTTCCCTTTGACAACCAGCTATGGATGTCAAAGGGTACTCCAAAAATGGTAAAATGGCCAAAGGACAGTTAGCATTTAAGATGACGTTACGTATTTTCGATTCCCGTGTTTGACATAAATCAATATAGTGCTATCTCTTTTGACTTTCGACGGCACGCAGTAGTTAAACAAAGACAATAAAAAGTTTACGTTTTCACCGTCTAAATACATCATATACATATAACGTCTGATTTATATATGTAAATATAACATGTCATATGGTTTCCATAGTCTAAGTTGAAATTACAGGCACATGGGACTTGTCAACTTATGTCTCAGGATGACAGGCGCAGTGGCAGTGCCCCTCCGATCTTTGCGATTTAAATCTCTGAATGGCACAGCAAACTGGTATGGACAGGCGTGTAGCTTACCATCAGGTGCATGACATGTTGGTCCCGTCACTTCATATTTAAAAAAACGTATTTGCTAAGTAAGATCAACCCCTAGTTTTTAGTCATTCTTGTTAGGGGAATCTGCCTTACGAATGGGTCGTAGTGCTTAATCAATGTAACAATTTCATGTGTAAATTGCTTACCTATAAAATAAAGACGAGATTTGAAATAAAGCAAGCATACATCGGTTTAACTCGTTCAAATAACCACCCTTCACCATTGACATCTGTTTATTTACCTGTGCGTGTTTTCTAGCCACAGTCCTAGCGTCTTTGGACAATCGCCTGAGCATGGCTAACCGGTCGCTGGGTGAAGACATCACGGTCAACCGAGGACAGGTATTCTCCGGTGCTTGTGAAAACGCGGAGTACTCCAGGAGAGTTTCCAAATGGCGAGTCAAAGTTTCCTAGGGAACAAAAATTATACTTACTTGGTTTTTTAGTATTAAACAGACATTTTGGGTCTTTTATCAGGTTGTAATTCAGTCATTTTGTAGAGCGAAAACAATGTGCGTCCAGAAGCGAAACGCGCAGCGTCTTTTTCGCTCTTTATGCATTGACATTAAGAATTTTTGCCTGGCTTAACGAGATTCTCTATAGGTATAACTTACAATTATCCTTTATTTTCTTATCAACACTCTTTTTACGATCCATGTCGCTAGGTAGTTTAAAATATACGTTCAGTACGGTAGACGATCGTCGAAGAAATGGTCACCCGAACAGTGGCAGTGAGTAGCCTTGCCGCACAAAATAGCATCGCAGCTATCGCAGCGCGTCGCAGTTTTCTGCGTTGCGAATTCGCATCGCGTCGATTCGCAGTTCTATGTTTCGACCCTTAGTTAACATTTTATTCTACATTGTATTTGGGTAGAGTATAGGTTAAATTTGAACCAGCTGAATATCAGCGCTGTGACTCTCCCCAGCATTAGGTTGCCATTCTACCACAGCTGTGCGACGTAGCGAAGCGGTGTGCGAGGAAAAAATCCACACATATGATTACTTCATTTTTCTTGCCTCGCTTTGCGCAGTTCCAGTGGGAAAGGGTTAGCGAAGCTATGATTTGTACATACAAAAACGGTGAAGGAAACCAAAGCTACTGAATGTATGACACTGTCGGTTAGTGTCATACATTCAGTAGCTAACCACCCCGCCCGCGCATGGCTGACAAGTGTATCAGTAAATTTCCTCTCACGGCCTAGCTACCTCGCACAGCGTTGATGGAAAGGTAGCCATACGCTGAGATGGCTAGCCTTTTCGGCTATTGTTGTGTATTTTGTATGTTATTTATTTACTTTTGAATAAATGTTTCCTCCTTTCTTTCAATTACATTACCTGATAAGTGTTGGTAGGGCAAGAATGGCCAATAGCAAGTCTAGTCACGACCGGTTCACTCCAGTCGTCCACGCCGCGACCTCGCACGTATTTGGCCAAATCGCATATCTCAGCATCTGAATAAAGAATAAGAAAAATTTGTACAAGGACGTTTTATTATTTCTAAATCTGTGAGAGGTAAGGAACCTAAAGTGCCAAAAAGTAATTTATACTACAAAGCGTTTTGAAGAGAATAAGGCTTTTAATGTGTGTACGTGGTTCGCGAGCTTGCCGGGTGCGGAACGCGTGCATGTAACATTAAACGACATTTACAGGATGTAACGCTCCGCGTATTTTAATTGTTTTAAATTGTTTAAACATTCGAAAGTTTATTAAACCTTAAATAATATTTAAATCTGTGACAAAATTATTCAGTGTTTGTGAAATACGTGAAAAAATCAACTAACAATGGCTCCACCATCGAAAGCAGCCCTTGACAGGTTAGTAGAAGTTATTTCAAATTTGGAAGTAAAAGTCAATGATTTGAATATCAAATTAGATCTATGCTATGACACTATTAAAACTCAAAACACATACATAGCAAAACAAGATGAAAAATTATCAAAATTATTGACAAAAGTTGACAGTTTGAAAATCTCAACCGACACGACTACCAACAGACGCAAAAACAAGCGTAAAATCAAGTCAATTACCTCACATGACTGTAGCACAATACAGCAGCAACACACTTCCACTGTCACAAACATCATGTCCAGTATTCCACAGAGACTTAGTGTTCCACTGACCCTAGATGATTCCGGCCCTCACGGAATTACTATAATTCAGCAAACGCCTGACAAAACCAATCACAACCACTCCACTGCAAACCACAAGTCACATAATATATCAACTCCACATACATCAACCCCTTGACACCAGAGAGGTTCATCTTATTAACACCACTAGACCTCTCAACAAAAAGACAATTGAACCGGTGTTAGGAGGCTTGCGAGCGGCACCACCACGCATTGGTACGCTACACTTATTCAATTTTAGCGTCGACACCACATCCGAAGATATAAAGCAGCATCTACAATCTCGGCTGCGAATTAGTGGAGTATGCTGTGAGCGGCTGCCGACACGCGGAGAGTACGCGTCCTTTAAATTAGAGGTGCCAGCCAATAAAGTCCAATCTATACGAGATCCTGGATTATGGCCCGCCGGAGTATCAATTAGAAAGTTCAATACGATCACTCCAAAAAACTTAAGAAAAACACGCGCGACACGATCAGGGATAACCTCAAAACCGAGACACAAATCGAACATAACGATCTTACACCAAAATGTACGTTCTATTACTGGTAAAACGGGACTATTGAACATAATTTTAAACACACACGAACCTGACATACTTGTATGTTCTGAAACCTGGTGCAAAAACAATGAAATACTACGCGTGAAGTTATCAGGGTACGAGCTCGCAAATTACTACTGTCGCCCGCGCATCAACCACGGCGGTGTAGCTATGTTCACAAAGCCAGGAATCTTATTTAAACAAAGAACGGACCTACACAGTATTGGTGTTGAATATCATTGTGAAATTTGTGTAATTGAACTGTATTCGGAAAATATTGTTATTGTGGGTATTTATAGAACTGGAAACGGAGATTTTAAACAATTTCTATATTCAATAGAAAAATTATTGTCAACAATATTTGACGAAAATAAAAGGTTAATTTTGGTCGGCGACATAAACGTAGATTATTTAACCGACAACTCGGACAGGCGATGCCTAGACGACCTATTAAGTTGTTATAACACAAAAAATATTGTCGATTTTCCTACACGCGAATGTGACACTTGTAGCACTTCTTTGGACTGTGGGATAGTTTCGAGCGATGACTGTAATTACATAACCGTTTCTCCTTTAGATACGCCGATAAGCGACCACAACGCACAGCTATTCGTATTACCTGTTACGCAACACAAAAATGTAAACAAATTTATACATCGACGTATCTTTGCAGAGGATATATTAATTTATTTTATATGGACATTTATAATTATGATTGGAGTTTCATTCATGTGACTGATATTAATATTAATGAAAAATTTAGTTCATTGATAAGAATATTAACTTATTATATTAATATTCATTTTCCTATTAAAAAAATATCTTTAAAGAGGAATACTATTCCATGGGTGAGTGAAGAACTTAACCACCACATTGCAATGTATAATAATATTCTGCTCAATGAAACACCAATTTCCACATGATAATGTTTTAAATAAATGTCTCCAACATCATTCAAATTTAATAAAATCTATGAGTTTGCGTGATCGTCGTCTATTTAATGATAATAAGATGATGTCTACTAAAAACTCGAGTAAGGTAATGTGGCAGATTGTGAACGATGAGGTTTCAACTAGGAATCACCAACAAAACGTTCGACTGACTCACAAGGGAGACATTGTGCCTGTAGACATGATACCTGACTACTTCAATGATTATTTTCTTACAATAACTTCAAAATTACATCTACACAATAATAAAGAAAAATCAATGTCATTTTTAAGAAAATGCGTGGGTGAATGCGATGTTCCTCAGTACAGCCTTCCAACTGTCACTCGTGACTCGTTGGAGGGGGTAGTGAGGGGTATGTGGCATACGTCAAAAACGCTGGACATATACGATATATCTATAAATATATTAATGTCGGTGTGGCCAGTGATTGGAGACATACTCGTTATTTTAATAAATGAAATGTTTAGAGAAGGTATATATCCTGATATTTTAAAAAGTACTCGTGTATGTCCAGTGTTTAAGGGGAAGGGGGACGTGACCCATGTTGAAAGCCACAGACCGATAACCATAGTTCCGAATATATCAAAAATAATAGAATCTATTATATCAACAAGTATTATGGATCATTTCGAAATGAACGATTTGTTATCAGATAGACAATATGCTTATAGGAAAGGTAAATCCACCGTAGTTGCAGCACAAAATACAGTAGATTCTATTATTACCAGTATAGATGATAAGTATAAAACTGCAGGCATTTTTTGTGACCTAACAAAGGCGTTCGATGTAATTGAAAATGATTTATTAATTCAAAAGCTAGCTGTGTATGGCGTCAACGGAGTCGCCCATAACCTATTAAAGTCTTTTTTATCAAACAGACGGCAAACGGTTCAGGTCAGTACAAACGGTACAACAACTAGGTCAGCGGCTGGTGACGTCACCATTGGCATCCCACAGGGATCTGCCCTAGGTAATACACTATTCCTGGCATTCATCAATGATCTGCCATACTTTATATCAGGGGGTCTTGTGGTTCTATTTGCGGACGATACAACCGTTATAGTGTGTGCTAAAACCTACAACGAGTTGGAAGAAAAATTAGCCTGCACGTATGAGCAGCTGTGTGAGTGGTTCTCTGCGAATGGACTTATTCTTAACGAATCGAAGTCAAACCTTATGTTGTTCTCAGGAAGAAATTCTATAACAAAGCCAATTATCACCTCCATTGTTCCATTATGTAACACCTGTAAATTCTTGGGTTTAACGCTAGACTCAAATTTGAACTGGAAGTCACATATACAAACTCTATGTCAAAAACTTGGAAGTGCTGCATACGCACTGAGGAAACTGCGTCCTCTTGTCTCCAATGTGGTATTGAGGCAGACGTATTATGCGTATTTTCATTCGTTGATGTCTTATGGCATCACACTGTGGGGTAATTCAACTGAGTCGATTAGGGTATTTATTCTTCAAAAACGTGCACTAAGAACAATAGTAGGCATAAAAAAGGGTCAGACCTGCAGAAACCTTTTTAAGAAATACAATATAATGACCATGTACTCACAATATATTTATGATATAATAGTTTATGCGCGTCAAAACTTGGCTACTTATGAGCGACGTACGGGCGGAGGCCGAGCGTTACGAAACGCGGGAACACTAAAATCCGTTGCCCACCGTACCGAACTTGCAACTAGAAATCCGCGGGTAATAGGTCCCCGATTCTACGAACATCTACCCACAGACCTGAAAAGTGTTAGAAACGATGCAACGTTTTGTACCCGACTAAAAAACCTTTTATTGGATATTGAATTGTACAGTGTCGATGAGTTTCTTTTGAAACAATTTTAATTTTATTTTATTCGACAAGCAGTAGTTATACTACTTTATTTTATATTCATTATTATTATTATAATTTTATTACTGACGATCATAGTTATCCCTTGACATTGTATTTCCAATTGTAATATTGTGACATTGATAACATGAAATTAACGATTCTATTCTATTCTATTCTATTCTATTCTATTCTATTCTATTCTATTCTAATTAGACATTTAAATTCACTGTTAAGGTCAAATAAAATATATTAAATGGACGTAGTTAAGCAAAAAGGGTCCAATCCACAAAATTATAAAAAATGAGTTATATGTACCAAACGGTTCCTAAAGTCTAAGCTCCTAGATCAGCAAAAAAATCCAACATATAAATAAATATCTCTGGAGTTACATGACATTATAAGTTTTAAAAACAAAACAAGAGTGAAACTGCCATATCTCGAAAGTGACTGGATGTGCATTGAGTCCTTTTTGTTTAACTACGTCCAAATAAAAACAAACGTCGATAGGATTTAATTCGTACTGCGTGATTTTTAGCGTCTTGTTTTTTAATATCAAATGACGAGACGTACAAGTCGTGCGCCTGATGGTAAGCTACACGCCTGTCCATAACAGTTGCAGTGCCCCTCAGAGCTTTAAATCGCAAAGATCTAAGAGGCACTGTCACTGCGCCCATCACCCTGAGACATAAATTGAAAAGTCCTATTTGCCTGTAATTTTACCAGCACCCGTCAAAACAGGAATGCAGTAATGCTGACATTACTGCTTGGCGGCAGAAATAGGTAAGGTGGCAGTACTACTCTGGACGAACTCTTTCACAAGGACCTCTACCGATATTTTATAATTAAAATGGCTGTTACCATTATCCAGCACGTCTGCCATAATAGAACTGATAGAAATTCGAAAAATAACACAAATACTTACTTCTGGGCAAATCAGAGATGGCGTCATAGGAAGTGGCGTACAGCATGGTGTTCCTAGGACCGAAGCCCACGCGGGAGTGTCGTGCGCGGCACACCGCCATGTCTGCGATGCACGACGCGTTCAGACGGGCTGAGAAATAACGTAAGGTGCATTTCCAAACCTCATATAAAAAAAATGCTTGCGTGTGTCATTTGCAATTACAATTCTGGCATTTGCAATGGCGGTAAAAACTTATAATAAAATACCATAATAATACTGGGTTATTTTTAAAATACGAACAGCCTAACAGGACTATATTACTATAAACAACAACTTTTGTTCCATGACTTTTGCAAAACATAATAAATTCACCAAAAATAAACTTTGAAGTTTTTGTTGTACCATCTGAGACTTTTTAGATCAGTATATTTTAGTAAGATAAGTTCAAACATGCAAGCGTCATTCGCGACGACTCTCACCCCCGTCCTGCACAGAGTTATTACCGTTTAGAGCATAGTTTCCCAATGTGGTCCCTACCGTTCCTAAATGGGCGCTGAAGAGTCCTAGGGGGTGTTTTTCAAATGCGTATTTGAAAAAAGAAATAGAATTATCAACATAAACTAGGCAACATATCTTTTTTTCCTTCTATTGTATGTGTTAATATAAAAAATACGTTCTTTCCATTGATTTACAATTATATGGACGTAGGGTCCGCGCTAAAAAAACTTATAGGGCGTTAAAATCGTATACAGAGCGTCATTCACGCTTTAGTCTTCGTTTGTTCGACTGACAGCGAAGCAAGCAAAATTAGACAGTACTGCGATGACATTACAATTTAAATTCAACGTTTTAGCTTTTTCATATTCCTTTACATGTCACTACGTTTAAATAGGTTGATTTGGGACATTTTTTTCGTGGTTTTTGTATTAGGCCCGTCGTCCATTTATTTGTAAGTCAATGGTGGTTTCAATTATTTTTTGTGGCGGTGTGGGCGTTTAAATTTTTTTATCTTGCCTAAGAGGGCGGTGAACCAAAAAGTTTAGAAACCTATGGTTCAGAGAGATCTGTTTATTTTTGGGTGAAAGTAAAATCTGATGAATGAAGTCGTGAAACAAAAAATAAAATATTAGAGGTGTCGTTTATGTCGCGATTTAGTAATATTGTAATATGAGCATTAACTAGTTTAGTATGTTATGATACCTAAGAGTAGAGAACTAGCACGCCAGTCCAGGCGTCATAAATTCTGAAGACGAGATATCTACTGAGAAAGCACTGGTTGGTCTACAGTATAACTGGTAAGTTTGAACAAAAACTACCATATAATACATTGAGAATGTTATATTTGGCACTGGCTGACTCTATAATTAATTATTGTATTTCGAGCTATGGTCGTACGTACAAAACATTCCTACAGAATATTTATAGCCTTCAAATAAGATTGCTTAAGACCATTGTACGTCCTAGAATTAGATATAAATTTAAAGATAATTATGACCAACTATTTCAGTATTGTAACGTAATGAATGTCTTTGATAAAGTTAAATTAGCAATCATAACCGAAAATTGTGGAAAAATAAAGTCGTTAAAAGTTAAAATTAGACCGAATTCATTACGTACACTATCACATCTACCTATGTATGATATACCTAAATATAACAATAATTATGGTAAGAGTTTGGATGTGTGAACTTCTTATGATATTAAATAGCTTACCAAAAAATCTTATAAATGAAATAACAGATAAAAAGTCTATACAAGTCAAAAACAAATTAAAAAGATTTAACATGAAAGATCAATATCAGAGGAGGCATACGCAAACTGGTCATTGATTTAATTGTTGTACCTTACATATTAACGCAACTCACTAGAAAAGGATAAATAATCTTTCATTTTAAGATTCTACCTTGAATGTACTGTAACTTGTTATTAATATTTGTAAAAAACAGTTTTACAATTTTTTTTTACACAATGTTTGTTACTATACTTCGTTTCAATCCATTTTGAACACAAAGTAAACGAAGTCACGGACCCGACCGTAAACGGTTTATTGATGGCCAGTTACATCGAGTATATAACCAGAAATAGAAACGAAATGTAATTTAATTCGTTTGAAAATCATTCTGCCAAATCGTTACGGTGACTACTGTGCTCCGATTGGCCAGCCCGAATTCGAAACAATTGACGGTGTCGTCAATTGTTTCGAATCGACCGGTTTAACTTGAGGTTTGCTATAATGGACGAATATTGAAAAATTACATATTTAATATTTAATTACCGATGAAACGTGATTTCGTTTGTTTTGTAATTTGATGTTTTGCTGTTTTTCCCACGCCACCGAATGGAACATTGTTAGAGATATTATCTTCATTACAATAAATACAGAATATTTTTGGAATATAAGGAGACGTAAACACGGGTCAGTTATCAGCGCAAACGAGAGTTGATATTTAAAAGTGATATATGGCCCATTTCCCTGATGAGTTGCCAGGTATGGATGGCCCATATTTCTTCTCTATTTCTGGTTAGATACTCAATGGCCAATTGTAATGCCAACTACAAATCGATTAATTCAATTAATCGATTTGTTCCATTGAGTCATACTAGCGGTTTTCCTTACATAACCTATGTAAAACATAACCATATTTAAAATTTCCGAAATCTTATTTTTTAAATCCTCCTTCAAATCATTACGCTTAGATGCTTGTTCGATTGCGATTGAAATATTCGATTTACTAAACTATTATAAAAACTGTAATTAAATGTAGGTACCGAATGTTTTTTTTTTTCGTACAGCACTATGCAACCAAAGACAAGTCACTGTTGTATAATTGAAAAATAACCTCATTTTTGTCAAAGTCAAAGTCAAAGTCAAAATATGTTTATTTCGGAGGCAAACAAATTACGCATGAAATCGTCAATTAATTACATGTTACTTAAACTAAAAAACTTATGTCTATAAACATATTACTGATAATTAATAATTACAAACCAAAACAAAATAATATAGTCATAAAAATTTTTCTGAAACCAAATTGTGCTAGCGTGAATAAATTATTTGTTTCGAAATAAGATACAATTTGATCTTTTAAAGTCGCTTCTAAAATTTTCGATAAGACGGGTAGAACACAAATAGGCCTATAATTGTTAATCATCAATCTATCACCATTTTTATAAAGAGGAACCACACGCCCTATTTTGAGCATATCTGGAAAAACACCTTCGGTAATACAAGAATTTAGAACTGTACAAATTAAGCTCAATAAATCGTCATTCCCCAAAACTATCTTTTTAATTATATGTGTAGACATGTCATATACATCTTTTGTGTACTTGTCATTTAATTTAATTATAATTCGTCTAATGTCATTTGTGTCCATTGTTGAAAATGAAATTTTTGTGTTTGTTTTAGTAACATTACGCAAATAATTATCACATTTCGTTAAATCAATATTTAAATGACTACTCAGTCTGTGCGCTATGTTTAAGAAAAAGCTATTAAATAATTCAGCAATCTTTTTTGGGTCATTTATAATAGTACCTTCTTCATTCTTTATTTCGTCTATCACTTGTAATGTAGTTCTCTTTTTATTTACTTGTTCATTTATTATTTTCCAACTTTCTCGTATTTTATTTTTGGCTTTATGTATACGGTGTGAGTAATTAACTTTTATAGCGGTTGTTAACACTTTTCTAAGAATCTTTCTATACTTTTTTATTTTTCTTTCTCTATTATCACATGGCGCAAAATCCTGAAGAATTTCCATTTTCGATAACGTATCTTTAGAAGTATGTATTCCCTTAGTATTTAATTTTTGTTTCTTTTTGCGTACAGTTAATCTTTTAATAGGGAACGCAATATTATAGCAAAATAATATTGCTTCAGACAATATCTTAATTTTTTTATTACAATCAATATTTAAGTAAATATTGTATTTTACAGATTCCAGTTCCTTTTTAAATAAGTAGTGAAAATAATTACAGTTTTGTTCCGAAAATAATCTTCCATATTTGATATTGTCTTTTTTTTTCAATTTTTGTTTAACTATATCATATATTAACAAAATAGAATTGTGATCCGATAATTTTCTGAGAACTTTACCTTCACAGTTGACATCAGAATTTACTATAAAGTTATCTAAGCATGTTGCACTTTTCCCTTTAGTTCTAGTGGGCTCACGAATGACATAATTACAGTTAAAGCTTTTTAAAGTCGTATTTAATCTTTGGATTTCTTTTTTCAGTATTAATACATTTAAATTAAAATCACCTGCTATTATATTATTTGGACTACCATTTTTCAAATACGATTTTACGATGCCATTAAAATGAATATTGTTCGAAAAAGTGATGAGATATCAAGACGAAATGTTCAAAATATACGTGAAAGTGTTACTTATTCCATTTATTGAGCGATTGCTTTAGAGTTTTAACCAACAGTTTTGTTTACTTTTTGTTCAAAATGGAATGGAACAGACTTTAACTTAGATACAGTATTTGTTGTATAGACAGACTGAAGATAGAGCATGACGAATCAGTAACGGAATTAGAATGAGACCCGCCACTTGTGCTAAGGATATAAGAGGGCATGAAGTGGTGGCACAGGAAAGGCTATAAGAATATGTGTGGAGGTCCATGACAGGGATCACAGGATCCCGCTAGGACCTATTAGGACATTGATAGTAGATCTATGAAGTAGAATGAAATTTAAAAAGGTATATATGAAAAAAATACTCTATTACAGGCTGTTGGGATAGAAAACAATGTCGCAAATCGACTGTGAACTGGGTACTATCTCAATTTTGACAACTTTACAGGTGAAGAAAAAATAATTTATATAGCGTCTTAAATAAAAATACGTAGTGTACATGTGTAATAAAAACTACGTATTTTTATTTAATAAACCAGATGTTATATAAATGACGCAAGCAATTTTTTTCTTCACCTGTAAAGTTGTCAAAATTGAGATAGCACCGACTGCCAGTTCACAGTCGATATGTTGATGCGAGGAATCATCTGCAATCAGAGATGGTCAATGGCCCGGGTTTTAACACTTGATAAACGCTAATGTAATTTACATTATGACTGACCCTCAGGCGTGGTGACAAGAGGCAATGGGTAGATACAATACGAAGTCTTTTACAATATTTCCATCGTTCATCATTATTACCCGTAATTTAGTTCCGAAAGCTATAAAAAACGACATAAAAGAATCCCTGGATTGTATGAGTAAATAGATATGTTATTTACCTGCTATAGTACGCTTGAACGGTGGTACTTTGCGATGATATTTTAACACAACTGTATGAGGTCGGACGATTAGAGGCTTCATCGGTAACTCTGAAAAGAAAAAAGAAACAATGAAACTAATTAATAATAATAACGCAAACACTCGACAATTAACTTAGTTTTGTGTCTTTCCACCGTGTCTATGCATGTCGTAATGTTAAACAGTACATAGAGGGACTTACCAGTTGTTTGTCTCTTAGTAAACAATAATAAAGTAAATAATAATGACTTGTTTATGCGACCATAGACAAGTCATAGTTGTATAGATGAAAAATAACCTCTCTTGTGGACTACCATTTTTCACATACGATTTTACGACGCTATTCAAATGAATATTCTTGGAAAAAATTATGAGATATCAAGTCGAAATCTTTGGAATATACGTGAAAGTGTGACTTATTCGATTTACTGCGCGTGCGCATCGTCAAATAACGGCGTTACTTATTCATTTATTCAAAATTAAAAGTAACAGCAATTACATTTATTACACATTCTTAATAATATTTTAAATGATGTAATCGTTACAAGTGATTGCTTTAGAATTCTAACCAAACACTTTTGTTTACTTTTTGTTCAAAATGGATTGGAATAAAAGACTTTACATTTTCTTCTCTTCGTCGGCTATCATTATGGCAACTTGGGTCTGTGAAGTTGCGTGTGTTACTCATGTTGACCCGCTCTGCAAGAAAGCCGTGTGGTTTTTCTACGACCACGTCTTCTGCGGCCCTGCGGATATTTCCCTGCAGAATGAGTTGCAGTAGAGAGTATTTATCACTCCCTTTTACTGTTTTCAGTCCAAGCCTTTGTGCATCCTCCGCAATACGTTATCATTGGTGACTCTATCCGTCAATACATACAGATAATTATAAAGAGGGCAGTCCCTACCTTCGGAGAGCACGGGCACCACCTCCTCGGTGAGCATGTCTTGCTCCACCGCCTGCGCAGAAGGCGGCCGCTGCAGAATGCCGAGCGGCACAGCGCGCGGCACTTGCTGGTCGCCCGTCGACACCGACACGTCGTCTTCCATTTCTGTTAATTTAAAACGAGAAGATATATTTCATTAGTTAACCCTTAAGACTCTATTGACAGCTGACGTTCTTTATACCCGAAGACTCGCGCCACATAATGGCGGCGCTAAGGAATATTTGCAGATGCTCACCAAAATCTGGATTATTCAATTACTACTAAACGATTTTACTTGAAATAAAAAGAAAACTATTCTATGATGATGTTTTATTTGATGAGACATTCAAAGATATTTAACACGTCATACCATCATAATTTCTCGTAAAAAATACAGTCATGGGCAAATAGTAGGTTTTGATGTAAATAAGCAAGCAACGTAAATAGAAATAAGGCAACTTTGATGAGTATGTAATACTTTTTGAAATGTTGAATATATTACTTAAAAATCCTACATAAGTCGTTTTTATCACGCTTGCTCGTATATAGTATTATTGCACGGTGGCTAACTTGACTCTAATGCCCCGAATAAAACCCACGGGCCTTTTTTCTTCCCGTTACAGCCATGGTAGGTAAGGATATTTTTTTTTGTAGCACGACATAGTTCCCTAAATAGGTGAGGTTCAAGTTCAAGCAAGGAGGTTACTTAAGTTCAAAATTAAAACATTCGCTTAATATGTTTTTTAAACAGAAATTTAATCTACCAGCACGGGGTCTCAGAGACCGCAGCGACCTTATTTTAGTCATTTTTCAAAAACTATGAACAATAAACGGTTGCGCGACCGTGATATCCTCGAGGGGGTGAGGTATTTCCCCTTAGTAGCCCTGTGATATACGTCGCAAGAGCACATGTGTCTTTATTTGTGTTTGCGGTCTCAGATTCCGCGCGCGACCGGTCGTGTTCCGGAAAAATTCATGGAATGAAATTGAAACCTGGGTGAGTATTTCCTGTTATTTGTACTATATTACTTACAAAATTACATTATTTTATTTAATATATATTAAATTATTTATTATTTCACTATTTGTTGCAGACACAACATGAGTTACGAAGAATCACAACGGCTTGCAGAGGAGGCGGAATCAGAAGATGAAGATTTTGATGTTGTTAAGCCATTGCTACTGATAATGAGTAGGTTATCGTACTACCTGCTTCTAAAAAAAAGTTACAAGTTTTTTATTTTGTATTTTTCCTTTTTTGGTTTATAAGAATAACGTAACGTAAAGAATACGTACGTAGAACATCATGAAAAAAACATTCAAAAATAATTGTGATTTTAGAGTTCCTACAATATTGTGCAATTGATGACAATATTGATTGATCTCGATAATAATCTATTATAATGTATTTATGAACGATTAAGATAGAAAATTTGATCTTGTTTTGTATTTTGTTGATTTTTAACGTTATTTGTATCATATGATTAAAATTTTGAATTTTTATAGACTGTTCAACTAATAAGTACAAATTAAAAAAAAAAGTAAATAATGTTTTTTGTATTTACATTTATATAGATAAAAGACTTTTTTATCATGTGCTACACAATGTCATGAGAATATGAATTTGCCTTCTCAAACTGAACGCGTAAAGTTGCGGACTCACCGACCGCACACGACTGCTTATGTTCGGCGCAAGGGTGCGACCACTGGAACGTTAATTGCAATTGAGGCACATACTACTACGAATATTATACATACAGTGGTGGACACATAATTAAAGACACTTAGAGAATATTATTTTTTCAAAGTTTACTTATCCTATATTTTTTTATTATAATGCAATAGGAGCTTGCAATATTATTTAAATTATTCTAACGGGTATCGTGAAATGTTTGAAATGAAATAAAGAGAACGAAGATGTCGTATTTTAAATGTTTATTAAGTTTCTTTAATTACACCGTTATAAACTAATACAAAAGCTTGGCCAACTAATTAAAGACACACAAATCATGTAACTGCAAAAAAAATATTACAAATGTTAAAACGAATTTGAGTATAAAATTAGTTTCAGATGTATAATAAGAAAATAAAAGCACGTTGTTAATATTTTGTCGCATGTCCTTTAGCAGCAATGACGGCCCGACACCGCCTCGGCATAGAAGCAATCAAATTATTGCAAGTTTCAATCGAAATCTGTTCCCATGCCTCTTTAAATGCCGTGTATAGTTGATGCACGTTACTTGTACGTTTTTTTGCAACCATTTTCTTCACACGGGACCACAAGTTTTCGATCGGGTTAATGTCAGGACTATACGGTGGCCAATCCAAAACTGTTACTGATTGGCTTCTAAGAAATTCTTTGACCACTGCTGAAGTGTGTTTGGGATCATTATCATGTTGAAAAGTCCATATCACCGGCAAATGATCCTCGGCATAAGGTAACATGGTGTTTTCTAAAATATTTTTATATTGAAATTTATCCATGTTACCTTCTATTTTTTTAATAGGTCCCACACCGTGACCAGAAAAACATCCCCAAACTTTGATACTACCCCCTCCATGTTTAACAGTTTTTTTTGTGTATTTTGGATCCATTTGTTTTTTTGAAGGACGCCTCACGTAAACTTTTCCATCAGAGTTAACCATATTTATTTTAGTTTCGTCAGAAAAAAGCACATTTTTCCACTGTCGCTCTGTCCAATGTGCATATTTTTTGGCAAACAGCAATCTGGTTTTGATGTTTTCTTTCTTCAAAAGAGGTACCTTCCGAGAAATTCTTCCAAACAAGTTTGCCTCACATAATCGCCTTCTCACCGTTCTTGCAGACACTCCTCTAGATTCCTCTGCACCAAATACTTCCAAGCGAATGACTTCTGATCCTTTGAAAGGGTCTTTTTTAGCCAACAATTATATTCTTGTGTCTTCTCGCAGGGTTGTTTTTCGCGGTCTAGGTTTCCAAGGCACATTTTCCGTAGTGTTAAATTTCTTCAAATGCCGGATAGCGTTCATTACCATATCTTTCATCATATCAATTTTCCTATATGACCACCCCTTTTTCATAAAAAATCAGAATTATCTTCCTTGGAAGGATCGCAACTTTTGCTTTTTCCCATAATATTTCAATTTAAATTTCACAATAAACTTAGAGCACGGCTAAAACTGAGTGAGATTTTGCGTATCACGAAAATTCGCTCAATATTAGAAAAAATCAGTGCTCTTTTTTATTTTTTATTTCAAGTTTAGAACACGAAATACGCACTGTCTTTAATTAGATGGCCAGCAGCTAATGTATCGAAAAAGTTTGAATGATATTTGAAACAGGAACTATGTAAACTCTTTTTAGTTAAACTTTGATACTGTTCTCATTTTAAAAAATATATGATGTCAGTGTATGTAAAATGACTATTAAAATGGAATTGATACCTATCTTGGGTCTCTAAATATCATTTAATTTGTTGTATGTGGTCAACATCAAGGGTGTCTTTAATTATGTGACCACCACTGTATATATGTATACAAACCCACACACACACACACAAACACACACACACACACACACGCACGCACACACACCCCCACCCACACAGACACAGACACACACACACACACACACACGCACACGCACACGCGCACACACACACACACACACACACACACACACACACACACACACACACAACAATGTGTTTTATATATATATATATATATATATAAAACACAAAACCCGCCATTTGCAAAATCCATAATTGTTGTTTTGTGAACCATATTCTTCATACAAGAGATGAACATTGTATTTATTTTGTCGCAAATGTGATGAAATACAAAACTCGAGTTATTAAAGCCCCTCAGTCTTCGGTTTCGGGTTTCTAATAGACCCTTGTTAGTAAATTACCTGCATCAGCGTACAACGAAGCCTTCATGAGCTGAACGTTGTGGCTCTGTCGGTGCTCCAACCGGGCCAACTCGCTCGTTGGGCTTTTCACTCCAAACGCTGAAAAAAAAAACATTTATATGTTTGTGATATGCACAAAGCTGTGGTAGCCCAATGGTTTGACCTACTGCCTCTCAATTGAGGATCGCGGGTTCGAATCCGGCCTCGCACCTCTGAGTTTGCGGAATTTATGTGCGAAATTTAATTTCAAATTTACTAGATTTTCGGTGACGTAAACTACACTGCATATACTATTACACTATACAGGCCGTGTATTTGAAAGTGGGACATACTTATAGAGTGCGTTATATTCCTGATTCTGAACCCAAAGAAATAATAAACTAATGAACTTAAACTTAAAAAAAATAAAATTTTATTGACTACTATTTGTGAACAACATTAGTTATCGAAATCTATATGCACATCACTATTATTGCTCCGACGCAACGGCCAGCAGCAGCACGGCGGCGAAAATCAAAGCACAAGTCGGGAGTGGGGGCGCGGGCGCATATGCGAAATCGCTGTTTACAGAGACAGTGCACGCACGACCTTGGCCTAGCGAAGACACGGAAACTATTTGTACTTCCGCTCGCCCGATGGCCGTGCCTCTCGCCCGCGCAAATGGATATTTATTCTAACGTCGAATTGACTGAGATGGTGCGACTTTACGCAATAAGTGGTGATAGTAGGAAGCGAGCTATTGAAATGTTTGGAGGAGGTGAACAGTGTCAAAGTGTTGCATGAGAGGATTATCTCAGCATTTTATACTGTGAGACAAAATGTGTTTGTGTTAAACAATTTAAAACAAAATTTACTACGACTTGCTAGACTATGCATTGTGGAAAACGGTGGACATTTTGAACACTTGCCCCGTACCACGTAAATAACTAAAAAATCAATCATTGTAAATAATTTGATTTCACATTTTTAATTACGTCAAAAACCTCAAGTCTTATTAAATGATAACTAGTTACTAAATCATAAAATTAACTTTTTTAGTACGTAAAACATTTCGACGATAGTTCAGGAGTAAAAAATAATTAGCATAAGCTAAAACGTAATCATTTCGATAACAGCTTTTTCATCATAACACAAATATGCGTAGGTGAGTAACTTAGTTTTTATTTTCTAAAGAAAAGAGGTGCTTTGTGGTCCTACGCCCGAAAAAGTAGGAAGGGAAATGTGAAATCATTGTTATTGTTGCTGTCTCACTCGGCGCTCGCTTGGTAGTATTCCGATTGCACTCAAAATCAAGCGTAAAGGGAACCGGTTTATTCCTATGTACTCCAAAACAAATTAGTTGATTTATTTTTTGTTCTATCCTATATCCTAATTTTATTTTAGTCTATGTTAAGTTGTAACATGATGTACTATGACATGTATGAATATGTGTCACTTTCAAATATACAGCCTGTATATGGTTTATTGCACATCATTTTACTCCAGTAGTCTGTGGTGAAACGAGCTTACAATACCCTGCGTCTACAGTATAACAGCCCTGAAAGTTAACTTTTTCCCTTCTTCTTATTAGTTTAGAAACAGAGGAGACAGCGAGACAGGGTAAGTTTAACTGAGAATATTGTCCGGTTTATATATATTTTTTAATAATATTATTATTGGAAATCAAACTATTTTCCCGGATTTAAATCGCGTATATTTGTTTTTTCAAACAAACCGACGTTTCGGGCCCTTTACAGGTCCCATGGTCACGGTTGACTGAGGTGGTACAGTCTTCAACCAGTTATATCTAATATTAAGAAGTGAAAACCTAAGAACTCGATAATATTAATATTGTTCATTACATGTAAATTAGTCGTACATAGTCATAGTCATACCATCTTTTTTTGTTTGAATTAATTAATTACATGTTATTAATAATTTCAACCAATATAATTATTAATATTCGATGTTTAACGTAGCGATGGTGTAGTTGAATTGGATTATGTTGAAAAACGATGTGTCAACAAGGTCAGGCTGAAAATCAGTACCGCGAGGCATACCGCCTTATCGAAATAATTATGGTAAAAATAGTTTAAAACATATAATACCTTGTTTATTCAACGAAATTCCTGAAGAAATAAAAGTATCATTAAATTATAAAAATATCAAACCTAGATTAAAAAAGTACTTTTAAAAAAAAATACGTAATAATATATATAATAATGATAATTTATATTAAAAGTAATTATATTAATATGTAACAAATATTATACTATTCAACTTTAATTAACAATATTATGCATACTAACTCCATATAATACTTACGAAAAAGTTTTTATTACACTTATTATTTTATATTGTACTATATTATATTATATTATATTATATTATATTATATTATATTATATTATATTATATTATATTATATTATATTATATTATATTATATTACAATTAGTATATTATATCCGTGTTCAACAGTAGGATGTACAAAATTTTAAGTTTATTGACACCGTATATTACCGAACTCACGCACACCACGAAATGTCAACACGAAGGAGTACGAACGCGCACACTACACATAGAAATATTTTTGTACGACGAATGAGCGGTATACAGAAAAACTTAGTTAAGTTTATGTTATACTGGAATGTTTTGTTTTTTAATACTTTTCAATGTAATAAATACAATAAATAAAATAAAAAATACAGCCACAAGGATTATACTGAGCCTGTTCCTTCCACGCACTGATCTTTTTCCCACAATATTGTTATATTATTATGTTCTGTACGTATAACTGTGTGTGGTAAATAACTGGTTTAAATGGTTTAACAATGCGTTCAGGATGCTGTTGCGGCTACCACGGCACTGCAGCGCGTCAGGAATGATCTCTTTCCCGCTATAATGCGTAAGAAGGCCGCTTCTTTTCTGCACCGTGAGCCGGAACAGCATATTGATAACACTCCTGACCCGGTTTGATAGTACCTGGCTATGGCATCTAATACAAAGAGTCATAGATGCAATTTAAATTAAGTAATTGCATATTATGTGATGTAATTAAAATGTAATGTAATTTAAACAAATACCTACTAACATAGTTACAAGTCTTACTAACAAATTATGGAAACTTTTTCTGAAATAAAGTATGTGATGGTTATGTTGTGTGTTTCCGTGATTTTATGATGTGTGTTTCCATCATTGACTTACAAATAAATGGAGGACGGGTCTAATACAAAAACCACGAAAAAAATGTCCCAAGTCAACTTATTTAAACGTAGTGCCATGTAAAGGAATATGAAAAAGCTAAAACGTTGAATTTAAATTGTAATGTCATCGCAGTACTGTCTAATTTTGCTTGCTTCGCTGTCAGTCGAAACAAACGAAGACTAAAGCGTGAATGACGCTCTGTATACGATTTTAACGCCCTATAAGTTCGAACACTTTTTAGCGAGGACCCGACGTCCATATAATTGTAAGTCAATGGTTTCCATCATTGTTTTTGTTCCCGTGGCTTTGTAGGAGAAAAAAGTTCAATGTCAATTTGCAACTTTACTATTTATTGAATTTTTGGCACTTACTACGAACAATTTAATATCGGTAGATTCGATAGTTCGAAGTTATTCTTTATAACGTGCTGGTAAAACGCGTGCTCGCGCCATGTTTTTCTTTACTCCCTCATTGGCGGCGAGTCACGACGGGAGCCGAAGGTTCTTCCCTTCCTTCACAGGTGGAGTCACTATGCGTGGAGCGGTAAGGTGGGAGATTTCCCGCATTATAAGTATTATTATTATTACATAATTTTTTTTTGCCTTGTGATTTTTTGTGTTAATATAAAATATTACGTGTTTTCAATTATTTTTTTTGGTGGTGGGCGTTGAATTTTTTTAACTTGCCGGGCAAGAAAGTTTGGCAACTAAGGATCAAAATAAAAGCTAGTACGGAAATTTTGCAATAATAAGAATGTTTTACCTCTGTGACTGTCTTGGTACATGCTTTGGGATTCTGTATTGTCTTCCGTGGTGTCCATTTCAAAAGCTGTAACAAATTTTTATAATTAACCACATTTTGTAATGTTGTAAATGAAAACATTAGCCCGTAATACGACAAGTCGCACACTAAACCGAATTGAGAGGACACGATTGGAAAAAAAAAACTGAATGAACCAATTTTTTTTTTCAAATGGGACAGCACGGGGAAATCCGAAAATATCCACAAGATACAAGGAAATTGTCTAAGGAACTATATAGTCTTTTTTGTGAAAGCAATTTTGGCATAGTAAATTTTTTAGTTAAGCGTGAGTTGTTGTTTTTTTTCTTAATTTTTAACAAGGCCTTTAACACTGTACTGCATGGTGTTCCATATGTGTGGTGTGTCATAGGGAAGCGAGATGTTCTTTTGTATTTTACGTTGTACGCATAATATTTCTAAGTAATCCCTCAATGAGGTTAAAAAAGAAATATAGTAAATTATCATGTACTAAAAACAAACAAATTTATTACAGTTGTAAATTTAAATAAAATTTACAGTATTATTAGAAGAAAATCCTAGTTTAGTGGGCGTGCCCGGCAACATCACGCCACTCGATGGAGGGAAAGGAGATTGGAGCTGTTTAAGCCCGCCACACAGGTAGCGCACACGCACCCGCACGCGAACGCGCATTCTAGTATGAGAAGTCAGTGCGCATTTACCTTAGAATTCATTCTGCAGCCTAATACTTTGCACATTGTTTAATTTTTGTTATCTATTTTGTAATTTAGCAAGGCCCAATAGGCGTTTTCAATTATTGTTTAGAAAGTTCATTACCTTTTCCAGCTCCATTGAGCAAATTAAGAGAAGTATGATGCATGGCCAACAAACTGTCTTCGTGGCCGAAACCAGGTACCAGAGGACCACTTAGAAGGCCACTGGTGTTGGTCATAGGCGACGACAGGGTCGCCAGGCCCCCTAGCCCGGATAGACCTGGTTGCAATGTTGTGGGGGGCTTTGGGGGAGCTGTGGGAAAAACAAATCTTTTTATCCCAATAACGACATATTAGGGTGCGTACAGATTTGGCGAAAGCGCTGCTTATGCGCAGCATGCGCGCTGCAGGCGTGCTGCATGTGTGTAGTTAAATACATGTTGATATACATATGTGGCGCGTGACCGGCACGCGAACAGATTGCACTACGTAATGCACGTGTGCAGCTCGCGAGACGCATTCGCCAGATCTATACGTACCCTTACAATAATAATATACTATAATATACTATATAGTATAGATACTATAATACAGAAGCTTAAACCTATGCTATGATGACTATCATTTTTAGTTTCCTAATCTATAGAAAATGCAGTTTTCAAGAAAAGTAAATTATTATCATGACATTGATTACTTGACATGATTACCTGGTGGTGCCGCTTTCTGCAGCTGTTGATTGACGATTTGCCTCTTCAACACTTCGGGGACTTCGTCTTCTTCGTCAGAGTCCGTCAGGCTGTACTTACTGAAGTGTTCCACCTAAGAATTGGAGATCGCATGAGTTATCTAAACATTTTGAACATATTAAGTGCCCAGGTCACAAGTAACAGAATAAACCAACGATATCGACTGTGAACTGGCAACCGGTACTATCTCAATTTTGACAACTTTTCAGGATGAAGAAAAAATAATTTGTATATCGCCTTGTTAACGCTGGGTTTAAATCAGGTCAAAACCTACTAACGCCCAAAATCGAGGGTAAAAACTATTCACAACTAAATATGTATTGTAAATATAGAAGCAGTAGAGCTCCTTGTGAAAAAGTTCGTCCAGACTGCTACCTCACCTATTTCTACCGCCAAGCAGTAATGTCAGCATTACTGCGTTCCATAATTGCAGGCACATGTAACTTGTCAACTATGTCAGTGGCAGTGTCCCGCAGATCTTTGCGATTTAAAGTTTTGAGTGGCACTGCAACTGTTATGGACAGGCGTGTCGCTTAACACCAGGCTTAACAAGTCGTGCTTGTTCGTCCCGTCACTTGATGTTAAGAAAAATTCCATATCTGCTACAACTCCTATACCTTGCAGCAGTAGATCAGTCGTCGTCATCTTGATTGTACAAGGAAACCAATGCTACTAGGACGTCAATGAACATGTAAGATGTAAACTGAAATCTGAGTGGACTCCTATACGACACTCGGTTCGAGAGCACTTGTATAATGAAAACACGGCTTTCATGAAAACATTTTTTTTAATAGTAAGTAAGTTAAAAGTAAGTAATAAACAAACTCACTCGAAACACCCAACTGCCGGTCTGAGGCCGATACTCGATGAATTTCGTGTCGTGCTTATCGCACACTCTTCGCAATTTGCCTTCGTAGTCCATCGCTAATAATCTGGAACAGAAATATATTGTCCTTTTGATCGCACCTTACACGTAACAACGACAGGGCTCCGTCACTTGCTCGAGGTTACGCGATAAGTGCGTACAGCTGAGTGTATCGCCGACACTGTACAGCGCTCAGAGGGCGTACGGTACGTTCCGTCACGCTAGCCCAGTGTGGGTTAGGGACTTCAGACGTTTTTCCAAAGGCTCCGAACCTTCTTCTACTTCGTCAACTTTATGTCTCAGGGTAACGGGCGCAGAGACAGAACCCCTCAAATATATGCAATTTAAAGCTCTGAGTGGCACTGCAACCAAAGATATTAATTGACAGGAGTTCAATCATCGATGTTCTTACCTTTCAGGATCCGTGATAGGTTTCTTCTCAGTCTTGTCCCGTGGCCATATGCGGTCAAGGGTAACGATGGCCCGTCGGTTCAGGCCTTGTCCGACTTCAGGCTTCTCCGAGTCATCAGGATATATGGTAACCTCTTTGTTTAGGAAGTGCACTGTGAAAGAAGAATCAGAATTAAATACCTTTACAGCTACCAGCCCCGGCTAGAGATGTCGCTATTCATTGTATTTAATTTTTTATGTTAAAAATGCAAATAACCGTTGGTATGCTATCCCATTAGTTTTTTTTTGTTTTCACTCCAATTTTTACAAAGTTATACTGCTACAACCATTTTCATGTTTCACGAGAGATCTTATATCAACGATCGCCATGTCACTGTGGCGATGTTTGAAAGCGTGTCACCTCAATATGCGCATTTGGGCATGTCGAGGCGACATGAACCACGCCCACAAAAAAGGGGAGATTAGATAAAATCTCCCCTTTTTTCCCTATATCTATGGGACGAACAAGTCGTGCACCTGATGGTAAGCGACAAGCCTATCCTTTCTTGAAAAGAAATCCCTCGAAACTATGAGTTTCGGATACGACTGTGGGAGTTACCCCTAGAGCATTCAGTGTCCCCTACCACTTGAAGCACACATTTGCGCGTACACAGAGAGCGCCATACAATTTGTAGTAGTAATAGATCATCGAGTATATAATCAGAACTCTATTTCTGGTGTCGAAATGTCATTTAATTTGTTTGAAAACTATTCTGCCATATCATTACTGTGACAACTGCGCTCCGATTGGCCAGCCCGAATTCGAAACAATTGACGAGAGTCGTCAATTGTTTCACTTCAAATCGACCAGTTAACTTGAGCTTTGCTATAATGGACGAAAATTGCAAAATTACGTATTTAATATTTAATTACCGATGAAATTTGATTCCGTTTGTTGTGTAGTTAGATGCTTTGCAGTTTTTCCCCACACCACCGAATGGAACAGTATGCTATTGTTAGAGATATTATCTTTATTACAATAAATACCGAATATGTTTGGAAATATACGGAGACATACACACAGGTAGGCGCGAGAGATTTGTGATTTTTTCACTGATGAGCTACCAGGAATTTGTGGCCGTTATTTCGTGTCTATTTCTGTTATATACTCGATGTAGTAGGTAAATAACTTTCTACCGTTGTATGGTATTGGGTCACTTTCATTGTAAAGGTGCGAAGCCACCTAAGAAGTATAAAAATGCAACTCACCCAGCGAATCAAGGTCTAAACCGGCGACATCAATCTCGCAGTCGTAATACACGTTGCCATAATTCTTGCGGCCGATCGTGAGGTGTGGTACTACGCATGATCCATCAGGACGCATGTACTCTGTAAAATGCGCCTGGTGGTAAGCGACACGCCTGTCCATAACAGTTGCAGTGCCACTCAGGGCTTTGAATCGCAAAGATCTGAGGGGCGTTGCCACTGCACCCGTCACCCAGAGACATAAGTTGACAAGTCCCATATGTCTGTAATTTCACCAGTACCCTTACCCTTCAAAACCGGAACACAGTAATGGTGACATTACTTCTTGGCGGCAGAAACTGGTAAGGTGGCAGTACTGCCGTCCACTAATTAAGACTCGACTAAGTGACAAAATATTTTTTTGAGATATCATAGAAAACCATAGCCCAGTTTTAGAATATTGAAATGGTTTAATGATACTTCAGCTATGCATCGTTAAGGTCAGTTCCGATAAGTCGAATACATTAACTAATTTACTTTTTTTTAACTAATTAACTGTTTATAAAATAGAATTTTGTGCTGTATCTTTTCCTATTAAAAACGGATATTTGACCATTTGCTACTTGGGGTCTACTCGCGATCTCCGTCCGACATCCGTCCGAAACAATTACTGTCAAATAACAAATAATATTCGACAAAATTAAAAGACATGTATCAAGTTTGAAGCTTCATTCGCATCAGGCGTCTTTTCATTTGGTCAAGGCTTATTTGGCAGTAATTGTTTCGGACGGACGTCAGACGGAGATCGAGAGGAGACCCCCTTAGCCGCCGTGTTTTAGTTAGTGGACGGCAGAGTACTTCCCTGGACGAACTCTTTCACAGGGAGCTCCAATGCTATTAAATCACAGAGTAAACTAGTGTACAACAAGCGGTCTTATTGCTAAGATGCAATTTCTTCCAGTCAACCTTAATAATAAAAATAAAATTATTGCTATTATTTATATCACATACTTACTTATCATTTCGTCTAACGATGGTATGGTATAATACCCGGGTCTAGTGAGCTTCACCCCCGTAGGGTGCGGTGGTAGATCTCGGGGAGCCACGTGTTCTTCTTCTGTCACTGAAACAATAAATTAATACTTCAGAAAGTACATCAGCGCATTACTGCACTGTACTGTATTGGATGTACAGTGTATTCTGGTTTTATAATGACAAGAATGTTTCGGTGGTTACCAAAGCAAAATAAATTTATTCCTTTATCAACGGAAATAGCTTATTTTGTAATGTCATTATAATGGTTAGATATTTTTATTTATATTTTATAATACTAAGTGACGGGGCGAACAAAGCGTGTGCCTGATAGTAAACTACACGCTTGTCCATAACAGTTGCAGTGCGACTCAAGAACATTCAATGGCCAAGATCTGAGGGGCACTGCCATTGCGCCCGTCACTCGTTGACAAGTCCCATGTGCCTGTAATTTCACCTTTTACAACCTAAAAACACAGTATGCTCATATTACTGCTTGGCGGCAGAAATAGATAAGGTGGCATTACTTCCCTGGGCGAACTCTTTCAAAAGCTCTACTGCTGCTAAACTAAATATTAGGAAAGGATTAAGGAAGCACAGGAATACCAAGGACACTGGAGAGCTGAGAGATCCTCTCGCAACTCGCGCAAGCCGGTTGGCGGTTCAGGCGATGGCAGCAGAGTTGCTTTTGCTCTGAAGTAGACGGGTCGCCTTGGAAAAGGATGGGTTAAGTTAGGGTCATAGAATTGTTGATGGAGTCATCATGAATCCACTATACGTGCCACTGCTAAGCACCGGTCTCGTCTAAAAAGAAGGTTTGAGCCATCCTGGACTCATAAGGGATCCGTGAAATAAACGCCCGGGGTCTGTGTAATGAACGCCGGGGGTCCGTGTATAGCCTACTTAACATGATGGAATAGCAACCGTCACATTAGCTATTCATATGTATAATTATTAATAGAGAAAAAATTCCTTCGATCCGGCCGGATTCGAACCAACGTCTTCTAGCATACCGTGGCAGACGCTGTGCCAAATAAGCCACAGAACGAACCAACTGACCTCACGACTTTCTCTATGTGCTTGTTTGTCGGATCTTCGTATTTGGTTTTTTCAACGACTTTTTAGCCGTAGCGCCATCCAATCTAAAAACTACATTTCATTTGAAAACCAAATGGCTGATTAAACGAGGTAAAAATTAAGGTATGCATAGTAATTCCAAGACAGTAAGGTAAAATCGATTGTTAGTGATTGAATCAACGAATGCCATCACTGCCATTCCACCGACACTCTGTTGAGACTCAACTGCCATAGCAACTAGATTTTCGCAGAATAACTAATATATTTGATATACAGGGTGATAAAAAAAACCACTAACCGTTTTAGAGGAGTATACTGTATAATGGAGATAAAAAATACATGGTTACATGTTTATTGTGTGGTGGATACGTGGTATTTTTTCAAATACTTAACACATAAATAAGTTACGACGTCTCAAAGTTTTCCGAAAAATTATGAACAATACTGACACCCGATGATTAGCAAACGCCGTTGCTATGGCAACAAAAACGGTGTGGGGCACTGGGCGGTCTCAGATCAGATCGCTCTATTTTATTTAATATTCTGAGATCGCCACGCGTTAGAAATTATTGGAAAATATTAACATGAAAAAACGGGGAATTTTTTTGTTTTATTTCACTAATGTTCTCTATTACTGAATCTTATGTACAGGAAAAAAAATGGACAGTGATTTTTTGTCACCTGTATTTGGCAAACAATCACACCACCATCTTTAATAAAGTCGGTTAAAAAAGATCAATATTTTTCCCTTACTGCTATAACTTACCAGATAATGTATCAACATTCTCCTTATCATGCGACCTGTCGGATCCCGACCGAACACCTAGCTCCCTAACCGAGTTCTCCACAGCCTCAGGGTTTGTCGACAGGGGCTTGCGGAGAGGTTTGGTTGTCAACCTGGGGAACGAATGTTTAATGTGTTCAGGAGACTGCATGTTAGAAGACAATACGCCTGAAATGTCAAAGTCAAACAATCATTTATTCCATAGGTAACATTTTTACACTTGAAAACGTCATTTTTTGAGTTACTGCTCGTTCACTACGCTGAGCTCCCTGAGAAGAACTAGCAAGAAACTCCTAGGGATTGTTCTTTTGAAATAAACTTAAATGTACTGTTCTAATCTTCAATTTCGTAATATGTCTTTTCAATTAAAATACTTTTAATGTAAGTTTTAAACTTAGGAAACGATAATCTTAACTTATACTCCGGAATGTTATTGTAAAAACGTTTTTTATTTTTACAGTTGCAGGTTTTTAATTAATTAAATTTTTATTGAATTGATATTCAATTATTTTTTTGTGAAATTACTCCACTAGTTTGTTATAATTATTAATACAAAGATCGAACACTCAGAAAAAACACTCAGAAAAAATTCCTTCGATCCGGTCGGATTCGAACCGACGTCTTCTTGCATACCGTGCCAGACGCTATACCAGCTAAGCCACGGATCGAACCAACGGACCTCACGAATTTTTCTATGTGCTTGCGTCGTGTCTTTGTACTTGGTCTTTCAACGACTTTTTAGTCGTAGCGCCATCATCTATTACAGAAATCTATTACAGAGGTTTTTAATTTTTTTATAATATCAAGTGACGGGACTAAGTCGTGCGGTTGATGGTAAGCTACACGCCGGTCCATAACAGTTGCAGTACCACACAGAGCTTTAAATCGCAAAGATCTAAGAGGCACTGCCACTGCGCCCGTCACCCTGAGACATAAAGTTGACAAGTCCCATGTGCCTGTAATTTCACCAGCACCCTTACCCTTCACAACCGGAACACAGTAATGTGACCATTACTGCTTGGCGGCAGAAATAGGTAAGGTGGCAGTACTTCCCTCGACGAACTCTTTCACAAAGAGCTCTACTGCTGCTAAAGACAGTTCCCCATAAAAGAATCGTTTACCTTAGTTAAACGAAATCGTGGTGCAATGAGTTTGGACTTAGTTCTCACGCCGTGTCTCTCCACCCATGATATCATCATGAGGTGCACGAAAGGAGGGTATGCTCAACGTACCTTTTCTGGACATCTGGCGTATCCTGGGCAAATACCTTACGTCGATTGGCAAATCCTTTCATAGCATTACATTATTTCAAATTCAAATTGTTTATTAATGTGACAAATAATTTATGAATGTTCTACATTCCTTAAGGGGATATGTATTAGAAATTAAAATGATTATTTAAATATTTTAGGGATGTGTAATACATATTCTGTGGATGTACCTTAATAAATAAATAAATAAATTATCGTGTTATGTTTTCGATACAATGGCGGCGCAAGAGAATATTTGCAGATGCTCACAAAAATTAAGATTATTCAAAAACTACTAAGCTATTTTACTTGAAATAAAAAGATAACTATTCTTTGATAATGTTGTGTTTGATGAGCAATATAAAAAATAAATTGTTATACCACCTCATACCTTTACAATTTCTCGCCAAAAATACACACACAAAGGAAAATAGTAGGTATTGATGTAAATACATAAATCATTTTCGGAAATACTGGGCAATTTTTAAACGACTTCAAAAAAGGAGGAGGTTCTCAATTCGACTGTATGTTTTTTTTTGCATGTATGTTACGAGATAACTCCGGTATTTGTAAATCGATTTTCATGACTCTTTTTTATTGGAAAGGGGGTACTTCCATAGTGGTCCCATTTCATTTTGAAGAAAATTATCCACCTCGAAGGGTGGCTGTTCACGCATGACGATTCATTTTTATTTTACTTAAGGAGCAATTATTTTAATGGTTGACTTTGCTATTTCTCCAATTCAAGGCGTTTTTCTCTCAATATACTTTGAGTAGTGGGAACCGATTTTTATAATCTCCTGTGTCAAGTCCCGTACTTTGGCGAACTAGGGGATATTTCAATAAAACTTGGCAAATAGACGTAATTCCACGTACTTTTGAGGTCGGTTTTTTAGTACTCTGTACTGAGATTATGAACATGTAATACTTTATGAAATGTTGAATACATACCTAAAAATTCTACATAAGTAGTTTTATGTCTTTCATGCAAGATAACTGTACTAAAAGACATAAAGAAACACCCTATGCGAACATAACACACCCTCGGCAACGTGGTCATTAATCATGAGGTTATGTCACTTACCAGCTGGCCCGCCGTTCAGTCGTGATGGGTATCTCCTTATCTGCAACAGAATAGGTTTCTACTCTCATTATTATATTCCGTTCAGTACACTGTAATGTTGTACACATGCCGAAAAAACAGAGTTCAAGTGGTACTAATTTCTATGAAAAATCAAAACTAGATAGAAATCAAAACTTTACTTTATTATTTATTATTTATTATGAACTGCCTCCGTGGTCGAACGGTTACCATGCCGGACTGCCACGCAGAGGTCCCAGGTTCGATTCCCGGGCCGGGAGAAATATTTGTATGACCTACATTTATTTCTCTCGTGAGTTTGGGTGTAATTTGTGGTTGTCTATGTGTGTGCCCATGGCACCCGCGACACAGGGTTTCCCTAGTGCGGGGCTATGTTGAGTGTGTGCGTTATTATTATTATTATTATATTCTTTAAAAAAAAAAAAAAAATGCAATGATTGGAGTAGCTCTATTTCAGGTAAAAAAGTACGGAAACGTAAAAAAGGGAGGAAATCCCATTTGTCTTTTATTGTAATGAAGACCAGGAATTCAAAATTGTTTCCCCGTTATTTCCATACTTTCGGCAGTCAACGTCAATAGTGTAATTTCCAAGCACGTGCCAAAGACACGTGGATGCGTTCTCGCAGTCGAAACTAAACGACGACTTGCTTATGTAGGGTACAATATAAAGATTCTACATTATTTACAGCTTATTATGCGGCATTATTGCTATTTTCATACCGCCAGCGCCATCTAGTGCAGTATTGTGGTATAATGATCGACTATACAACGCCATCTGTAGAGTTATTTTGGGAATTGTACAGATTAATAGATTATTTAATTAGGTCGAGTGTTACTTATTTGACTGTAATTGTTTCCGACGGATGTCAAACGGAGAACTAGAGCACAGGGTCAGAACACCTTGCAGCATTACTACTGCGCGTGTTACCAACTTTTTGGAGACGCTTTTATTTTTCATAAGAGATCCCGTCGCGACCGTGTGACTCTGTCAATTTTTTAAAAAGAAATTCAAAAAGAAAAGTGGGTGGTTTTTTGGGAGAACGACGACGAGAAACGTTGGATTTCTGCTTGCAGTTTTTCTTCAGCGAAGCTATTAATGTGCTAATTATTTTCAAAAGAGCGGCGGAGGATACCGCCTGCCTGAGTTTTCTCCGGATTTACCTACTAACGCCTCGCCTGAGACGGGCCGAGTTCGTAATTCTGTGTGAAGTGTGCAACGACTAATTTTGGAGACTCTCGTCACGGCAAAGAGGGTTCTTTCGATATATCACATTGTTTTTATACCACGTTTTAGTTCTTTTAACTGTTATCATCACTCCTCTACTATTTATTTTAAGTGTATTTAGGCCGTACAGTGACAACCCTTCGATCACCTTCACCCATTTCTAAATTCCAAAACCTCACATCCTCTTGTGAGTCTTGTAAATAAGTCATCCCTTTGCCTCAACCTTTTCGGCTCACAGTCACGCCACCGAATTTGTAAATACACTAAAATTTTTCCTATTAATATACAGGGTGCCATTTAATCGCTGTCCCCATTTTCTTAATATACACCGTGCCCGTAATTTAGACAGCCTCAAAACTCCTTTTTCTGTTCGGTCCGAAGCACGGCCTCGATATAGCAGTGTCTTCTCACCCCTTTTTTTTAAAAAAAAAAAGCGCTGCAAGCTTCATTAGCCGACGATACGCTTCACGACGTTTCTAATCTTCAGTCTCTCAATTACTTCGGATGTAGTTCGTGAACTAAGTCCGATTTGAACCCGAGAATAATACGAATATAGCTTGTACACCTAGAGACATGTTTCGCAACACCAACACGCATGGAAACTCAAGGAAAATAAAATAAAATGCTTGGAAGAGAAAAAAAAAATACAACTTACCCAAGTTCCTTAAATTAGGATAGAGCCTCGGAGTTGGTTCATTGTCGATAGACTTTTCTTTTTCCGCGCTCCAGTTGTGCGCGTTCAACCTATGGACGTTCAAAAGACTAACTTATAATCTTTTTTGAAGACGGAGTAAAATGACATTTACAGGGTGGTATCCTATCACAAACTCCAAAATTTTTTGTCCGAAATAACGTTTGTTCGAATTTTCATTACACCGAAAACCGAATTATAGCGAAACAGATTGTTCTTTCAGGATATGTTGAATGTCTAATCGCAAATACACGATTAGGTCCGGTTAGGTTAAGTTAGGTTCAAAAGAAAAAACATTTTCCTCTCATAATTACTTTCGAGGTTATGAAATTTCGACCAAACGTTATTTCGGGAAAGTGTCATTTCGAACTACTGATAGGTAATCTTGCAGGGTTGCCAGTTTTCTTAAAATTTCAAATAGTCATGTAGTTGTTGTCGACAATTTTATCGGTAGATAGTGAAAGTCGGTAAAATTTTAGCACAAATGTCTAAATTGTGAATATCGCGATGTTCTAATGATCACTAATTACGTTATTGTATTCTTTATTCTTATTTTGACAGTTGGTCTATTAGTATCGAAATCAATTTTTTGTCGTAAACATTTTACTAACTACACGGATTTGATTATGCATATTAAATTCAAATGAAAATTTAAAACATATCTCCTGTTGGTATTAAATAAATTTATTATTTAATAAATTTAGTGTATTGTATGTATGAATTTTCAAAAATTGTAAATAACTATTTAAAATTTTACTACAACTGGCAACCCTGCAAATTATTTACTTATTCATTTTCAGGAAGATTTACAGCGAATTTAATAATAAATATTAGACAACACCACATACGTTGCACTCATCCCAAAGTAAGTAGCTAAATCATTTGTGTTATGGAAATCGGAAACGAGGATGGTACCACAAACACCCAGGCCCGAGACCATATAGCAAAGTTAATTTTCTACACTGACCCTGCCGGGAATCGAACCCGGGACCTCAGAGATGTCGACACCATGAAAACCGATGTGCAAGCCACTCGACCACGAAGGCCGTATCCATCTTTGAAAGACAGACTATAACCGTTTCCCAGTATTGACATTGAATTGGAAACACAAAATATCACAGCAGCAGTGCAGCCTGCGAGTGATATTGACTAGAACAGAATTGAAAACTTTTATCTACAAATACAAATTAGGTTAACTTACCAACTGCCATGTCGGTCGGAACTAGCGTCCAAACCTGAAAGAAACAAAATTAAATAATAAAAAGAAAAACATTTCTGTGTTTAAGCCATTTTAAAATAATTTGATTACTGTAACGAGATTTTGAAATTACGTAAGTCAACTTGAAGTTGGAATAATGGAAGTTGACGATTTACGAACGTTGTAA